AAACAGGACCCTGGCATAAGTTCCTGGGCGGTCAAGGTGTTGCAGGATGTAATGCAGCCCCATGTTCACTGCATCATCCACCGACCTGTTTGCCCGGTAGGCAAACTGCAGAGGGTCCAGCTGGTGGCCTGTAATGTCTTTCAGATGGGCTAACACCAGTCGTTCGAAGGATTTCATGACCACAGACGTGTCATATCAGTATTATGACCAGTGACTATATAAAAGTAGATTTTCGTCAATGATGTTGATTGTTGCAGTTAATAAACTTTTTAACATAATTCTTGATCATTGTTATTTATTTATTTCTTTTTTGCCTTGAAAACAGTAGCTCACATTAAGCTCACAGCAAGTTGAGTGGCTGAGTGAAAAAACTTAATGCTTAATACTGGTGGCAGCCAGTGCTATCCCTCAGCCCCCTAGTAGATGCACTTGTGGCATAAATTTGAAAATCTTAAATAAGTCTTAAATGAGTTGCTGTTTTCAATAGGCAAACCAATATAAACTGTCTAAACAAGAAAGGCCACTTTGTTTGAGCTAACTAATCATTTGTAGATTATAAAAAAATTATTTGCTTTTAGTTTGATTAAACTTAAAATGTCTGTTTATTTCCAGAAACGTCTAACTTGAAAAATTCTTGCCCATAATGAAACCAATCCTTATTTCTTCATATTTTGTTAGTAATATAGAAAATGAGCACAGTAATGTGTAAACATGAATACGGTGTAACTAGGCGGCACCAGAGTTACTACGGGAGAGGCTCAGAGTACAGCAGGAGTCTCCACCACATCACTTGCGAACAGGGCCTTTTTCAGTAGCTTGCCAAAGGGATCAATAACAAAAGTGGTCAAGAAAATAACAAATATAATTTGTAGATTGGTGAAACTGGCCAAGCTTTCCATCCAATTAAAATTAAATATACCCCCCTACCCCTCTTGAGATAAAACAATTATTTGTCAACTAGCTGTCAATCAAAAGTTTGTGCCGTCAGCAATTGAAGCGGTTAGACGCCGTATGGAGGTGCCAGGCTATTAGCAACAATGATAGCAGCAGAGTTTGGTTATGCTAGTAAGAGGGAAAAAAATATGTTCTTGAGGAGTGGGAAACAACTTGTTTTTTTTTCCACAAATGTGTGCGTATGTGTGACCTGTGGCACGAACCTTGGTGTCTCTAAAGAATGCAACACGGAGCAGCATTTCACCAAAGTTCACAGCAACCTTTCCCAGGACTTTGTAGTGGGAAGCAACCTCTGCAAAAAAAAGGTAAAAGAATTGAAAACTATCCTCCAAAAACAACCATCTAAACAGACAAAGAACGCTAGCGCATCAACCGAGGCATCATTTAAAGTGGTGCACATCCTCACCAAGCACAAAAAACCCTTCATCAATGTCGAGATCATTAAAGAGGCAATGGCAGAATCATTGAGAAAATAAGACTGAGATTCTTTCTGCTATCGCTAATGTTCAGCTTGGCTTGAACACAGTCAGCAGATGCAGAGAGAAAGCTAGATTTGGACCTGCACAGGTGCTCCTGGTATTTACTTCAGTCTGATGAGTCTGTGGACTACAGTAATATGGCACAGCTAGCTGTGCACACATGGTGATGACTTTTCTACAAAGGAGGAATTTTTGACGTTGCTACCACTGAAAACCAAGGAAGTTGGCATTTACAATGCAATGAAGCGGTACTTGTTGGGGGGGGAAAAATCCATTGAAAAACTGGTTTCTATAACAACTGATGGAGTAGCAGAGGTGACAGGACCTCACTCCAGATTTATTGCACATGGCAAAGTGCACCCAAACTTTGCTAAATGTTCGAACTATCACTGCATCATTCATCAGCAGGCATGACGTCACATAAAATGTGACGTCATGCCCGGATGGCCCGGATTGCAGCCGTTCGAAGACCAGATATAACGTTTCAGAACACTCCAGCTCGTATGTTAGTCTGCTCCAAGCATTTCCACTAAGGTAAGTCTTCTGTTGTAGTTATTACGTAATTTATCATAACATAATTGTTGATGTAGGTTACAAATAAGTATTATATTGACTTGAATAGAGATCAATGACTGTTTTCCACAGTCATTGATAGAGATTGACAGACCACGTGAATTTCGCGCGTTGCATTGTGGGTACTAGAGGCAACAAAATCAAAGCACTGCATCAAGCGCTAGTATTTCCAGCTTTGGTAATCATTAATTCTGCGGTTTTAATCCCTACTTGCATTTTATTTGCCCCCAAAACAGTTATGTACAAAACGACGGAGAACCGTACGAAGACAGACTTGACGAAAAGGCAAAAAAAGAGGACAAAGAAAAAAATCAAAGGAGTAAAAGGGTGAGACCCATTTGTGCAAAAGTCACATGGAAGTCCGGTGTTGAGCAGACATAAGCTTTTTTTTTTTCTTAATGAGTGAGATCGAGGCTTTCATGACAATGAGAGGAGAGGATAACATACTACTAAGAGATGCTGAGTGGGTGATCTGGCCAAAAATCCGGATCAAGAAATTAAAAAGCTGAACCAGCAGTTGCAAGGTAGACACAAAAAAGTGTGTGAAATGATCGGTGCTGTGAAGGCATTCACAGCAGGTGCAGCAGCCACTATTTTGTGGTCCATCCCTTGAGGAACTACTCTCTTGTTTATACTCCTCCTGTTTTGCCTGTGTTGTTTTGCCACAGTTACTTCTTGCCCGCGTGTCTTGCTACTTTACCTGCATCATTTGTTTATTTCTACTAGCTTGTTTAGTGATTTGCTCCAAAGGCCACAGAAGGTGCCAAATGGGAATTCCTTTATGTTGTGTTTGAGCTAGGATTACCTGTTATAACAACAGTCACTGGCACAGCCGACAGTTCACCAGTTGAGTGTGTATATGTGGGTGACCGTGGCTCAGGGGGTTGGGAATCGCATCTGTAACCGGAAGTTTGCCGGTTCAATCCCTGGGCTCTCTGTCCTGGTCGTTATGTCCCTGGGCAGGACACTTTACCCTACTTGCCTACTGGTGTTGGCCAGAGGGGCCGATGGCGTGATATGGCAGCCTTGCTTCTGTCAGTCTGCCCCAGGGCAGCTGTGGCTACAACCGTAGCTGCCTCCACCAGTGTGTGAATGTGAGAGTGAATGAATAGTGGCATTGTAAAGCGCTTTGGGTGCCTTGAAAAGCGCTATATAAATCCAATCCATTATTATTATATGACTATTTGGCTTGTGTATTTTAGCGTGTGTGTGTGTGTGTGTGTGTAAGACATTTTAACACTGTATGCCTGGAGTGGATTTTAGTAGTTTTTCTTGTATGAGTCTGATGTCAATTCTGCCATGGTCTGCCATTCTGGACTATGGTCAATGAGCCACAGGTGTCCTCCTTACAAACCCAGTGTGTTCCCCGGAGGCTTCCATTAGGGGGTGCACTATCACAGCTTCCCAGTCTTTTTATTTTTATTGCCCACTGCCAGTTTCTGTCTCATCATTTCATTCTCCGTCTCTTTTGTTCTCTCCATGTGTTTGAGGCGCTGTATTTACCTTTTCCAGTGGTAGTCATCCTTGGTGCCTGTCAGTAGTGGGAAGTAAAAAGTACTTTACTACTGTACTTGAGTAGAATTTTCAGGTATTTGTACTTTGTTTTACTATTTATTTTTCTGACAACTTTTACATTACTCCACTACCTACATTTTTACACAAATGTAAAAATGTACAGCAGGCAAAGAGGGAGCTGCAGGGAGGGTTTAGTGGTGTGCTGTCAGGGAGGCAGACCAAAACGGCTGATCTCCATCGTATAATCATAGGATGAAGAGACCACACAAGAGAGCTGTGTGGTGTGTTGAGCTGGAAGAAGCAGCTGGAAAGCTGTGTGAACTAAAAGTGAAAAGCATTTGTAAATAGCTATTCATGTGCATTGGGTACATTGATTACAATATTTTTACCTAACAACATATAGACATTAAAAAATTTTAAAATTTGGAGACATCAATAAATGACAGCAGCTGATCTGTTTTTCTTCCTCACACAAGACGACTGACTGCATTACCGAAATTATTATACCTACCACTAGAGGGAGCCAGAGCATCAAGTCAAATCAAGGGGCTTTAATGTCATTTTAACGATATACAGTACACAGTGAAATGAGACAGAGTTCCTCCAAGACCATGGAGAAACATATAACAGAAAATACACACAGGACTACATAAAGTGCAAGTGTGCAAAAATCAATGCAACACCAGAGAGAACGATACAGACACAACAACACACAAAAATTTCAGGTCGATCGATCGAACCTCTGTTTTCATTTTTAAATGAGTGATGAAAAAGTAAAAACAGCTTCTTCATTGGGCATTAGCTTCAGTTGTGAACCAGTCCAGAACATTCTTCTTGTTCTCTTCAACCCATTTAATGTTAGCGATGGTTCTCTCAATGGATTGATCCAGTGCTAAGGTCCCAGAGCCAAAACCAACATCGGAATTGTCAGCCTTGAACTGCTTCAGCTGATGCAACAGACACAATGTAAATCAGGGGAGTAGTTTTAAAGAAATACATATACTGAACATACATGGCTTTGTTCATATCACTCATCTCTTTTGTTATATTACAATTATGTTTTTTTCAACATTTTATTATTGAGACATGTTGTTTGTCATTCATAAAATGCTACAAACACTCAAACCTTTTGTTATTGTTATTGGATGAATGTTCCTCTTGCACACAGTCACTGCAACTTTTGACCAAATATTTCAAAACTGACCAAATATTGCAGCTTGGTTATGGCACAAGACTGCACTGCTTGCATGTTGATGTTAAAGTTGTCATAGTCCTGAGTCTCAGGCCAAGTATTTTTGAGTTTTGTTCTGGACTTCTAATTCTCTCTTTGGACATTTGAGATAAATCATATTCAGGGTTTTGTGTACTGATTTCCTATTACTTGTTTATCTGTTTTTATTCATATTTCTTGGTTTCTTGTTTGATTATGTTAGTTCCTTTTGGTGCCCTGTCTGTCACCTCTGTGTCCTGTCCTCAGTGTCCATCCATCCAATCATTCGTTTCCGCTTATCGTTTTATATTGTTTGTTTTATCTTTTATGACTTGTTATCTTACGTGCAGTACTTTGTGATTCTGTATAAAGAGGTGCTATATAAATAAAATTTTATTTATTTATTTTTGTTTTCAAGGTTGCGGGGGGAGCTGGAGCCTATCCCAGTTATCTTAGGGCGAGAGGCAGGGTACACCCTGAACAGGTTGCCAGTCTGTCGCAGGGCTAACACACAGACAGAGACAACCAATTGCAGTCCCATTCACTCACCCATTCACACCTATGGGCAATTTAGTGTTTCCAATTAACCTGTCCCCACTAACTCAGTGTCTCCTGTGGTAATCACAGTGGTTGTCTCCATGTTTGTATCCCTTTGTGTCTCCCCAGTCACTCATGTCTCTGTGTAGCTCCGGTCTCTTTGTCAAGTTCATGCGTCTTAGTCTGGGTCTCAGTGTGTGTTACTTCCTGTTTTATTTTCTTAGACCTCTCTCTTGTGTGTATCATGTTCAGTTTTGGATCCCTTGTCTTGTTAGTTCTATTCTTCACAGCTGTGCTCCCTGGTGTGTCCACTCTGCCCTAATGTCCTCCTGTGTATATATTCTCTGTATCTGTGTCCTTTGTTGTGTCAACCTCTGTCAGTCTGTTTCTATGAGTCAGTCCAGACTGATTGAAGATTACCAATAGTTAGGGCTTAACATAACTGATTTCAGTCAATATTTAAATAAATCCAAATAGGATATGATGAGAGGTATATGTTAATGCTGTTTATGTTAAAAGTGTTTTCAGAAGATGGGAAAGTGATTGTGCTTATGAATACTGGAGCAAGGGGAGGCCACTGTGCTTTGATGCTATGGAGGGCCATGAGAACCAAACCACTGTCTTTAGGTTTCAAATCAAATCAAATCACTTTTATTGTCACATCACATGTGCAGGTACAGTACATGTGAATGAAATTCTTGTGTGCGAGCTTCACAAGCAACAGAGGTGTGCAAATACTGGTAATGAGAACACTATCACACAGCAGTAAAATGCCTGTCCCGTCAAACTTATTAGTTCAAGTCAGTTCAGATTAAATTAACATCTTGTAAAGTCGGGAAGGCTTGAAATCAATACTTGAAATTTGAGATTTTGAGACCAGAGGATGACTTGAGATTTGATAACGCTTAAAGTATCTACATTTAAAAGTAGTATAACAAAATGAACAAAAGGGAAACCACATTGTGGTAAAGTCATTTCAAAGAAATATCTAACCTGCTGAAGCTCAAATTCAGTGGAGAAACGTTTGGTGACGCCGTTTACGAGGTTGGAGAATGAGAATGAGCCACCACCATACCTGTGAGAGGGAAGCACAGTTGAAGGCAAACATCAGTTAGCAGAAATTAAAGTCCAAGTCACTTAAGAACGGTCTTCTCTTTCATTGAGAACGTGATTATCATCTGTGAAATTACTGAATTTCTACATGCTTTCATAAATTACATATAATTCATTACAAATGTATATATACTGTATATTTAATGAGTATACAATAGTTTATATTTTTTAAATACTCTGATCATTTAAGAGTGCAGTTCTATCCAAACTGTAACATATACAAGCCATTTATGAGAAAAAAAAGAAGAGAAGAAAGAAAAGAAATTTAAGAAAACCGTACTAATGATTTTGCGGGATGAAATCTATTTATCTGAAATGATTTATAATAATCTTGCTTAGAGTAATGGCTCTTATGAAGCCCTACAAACTGAAGTATGAGACATGTTACTCCTCTTTTGCTTATGAGAGAAATACATTATTTGCTTTCCCTTTGGCATTTTAAGCAACTTTAATAAAATATCTGGTGATGTTTCTCCTAATGTCTCCTAGTCAGTTCAGGCTCTGCTTTAAATCCAAAACTTGGAATCACATGGAAAACAAAACCATCATCAGTCCCACACCAGCATAACACTGTGCACTAACCACAGTGCATCCACAACTGATGGTTGCATCAGTTATGGGTCCAATCATGTAAAGATTATGTTATGATTATGCTGTAAGTGTTCTTTGGTTCATATAGATATGACACATAACACTTCATATATGTGTTGCAACCTTTTTTAAATTGTCACTTTGAAGATAAACTGTAATTCTTTTTTCATATTAAAAACTATCCTTCCTAAAATGAAACTCGGGTGCCTTTTTAGAGTTATCATGTTGTACTCACTGACTGAAGATGTATGACCATCGAGCCCTGACAAAGTCCCATGCCAGAGACTGACCAACCACATTACTGGCAATGTCGACAATGGTGGCGGTGGCATCCTGCTTTCGGATCATGTCTGGATCTAGAGTGTATTCCAGATACCTGAACAGTCACAGAGTAAATATGTGTGCTAGATAGTAACTTTAAGTTACATAGTGTGGCATATTTATTAATAAAGCAATGAATGTACCTGTTGAGCAGCCAAGGTTGTTTGGTGCAGGACAGAGCATAGCGAAGTTTATCAGATTCAATAGCAGTACTGCCATTCTTAAACTGTGACCAAGCAAAATCCCATTCTTTCTTGCCACCTGCTGCAATAGCATTGCAGTACACAGTGGAGCGCAGGTTAGGGTGGATCCTAGAAAAAGAGCATATTGTTAGACTTCAGTACACCATAGATTATACAGAGTATTACTTTAAACTATAGGGGAATAATTATTTGATCCCCCTGCCAAATTTATAAGGTTGCTTAATTACAAGGAAAGGAAATGAACTGTCTGAAATTTTTATAGTTTCATTTTAAGTGATGTTATTGGCTGCTGCTTCAGAACTTGAAACTTCAACTCCCTCCCAAGATTTTCTTTAGGATTAAAGTGTGGACACTTCCAAAGTCACTACATGACCTTATTCATGTGCTTCTACGTATGCTCCTTCAGATTATTAACAAGCTCATCCCTGGCTCTATTGGATTAATGTCAGGCAAACATGAGGCCTAATCATGGGTATCGATTCCTTGATCCTCCTGATACTGCTTGCATACGTACTCGGGCATTGTTGTCCACCAGGAGGAACCCAGGACTCACTGCACCACTGTAGACTCTGACAGCTAGACCAAGGATTTCATCCCAGTATACTCAAATGACATGTATGACTCTATGTTGTACGAGTGTACATCTCATAATCCTGTCTTTATGTTTTTAATATGTGCTCAAGGTGAATGTTCATAGAGGGGATCTCTGCAGAGACCTCAGACTGGGTCTGCTGGGACCAGCTGGCCCGCTTGTCTATGCTTTTCTCTGCTCTCTCTCCAAAGATCGTGGTAGCTCTTATACCACCAGCTCCACAAACTGTGCCTGCTCTCCAGGGGCCCAGGTTGCAGCCACTGTGCACCAATGGCTCCAGTAATTCACTCCACAGGAGATTTCCCACTAGAGCAGTCTCGTGAAAAAACTCTACACCCAGCCTTTGACCAAGTGATAAAAAGTGATCTTCATATGGTGCACCCTAATGCAGCGCTTATCTATCTGCATTTTGTATTGATTAAAGATTAAAGATGGGCTGACGCTCACACAAAAGAGGAACACACCCAGTTGTTGGTGCCAAAAAGCCACCAAGAAATTATTTTCCCGGTGGCTCATCATAACCCCATGGCAGAGCATATGGGATATGATAAAACTGGAGTGAATCATGGCCTGATATTATTGGCCTGGATGTGGATGTGTTCAAATGGTGTGCATCCTACCTGGAGTGTTAGCTGCTATTTCAAAAGTGCCCTTGTGCCCACTAGTGCCTACCTTAAAGGAGGTGCCATTTGAGTGCATTGGGATGGATCTCATCAGTTTACCAACTGACACTTTGTTCATGTCTCACACACTAAAAGAACTGTACCAATTACTGCTATTACATCTATTCAGACCAGGTTCTACCACCGTCAGACTGAAAGGCTGGCAGAGTGGCTGAATAAGACTTCTATTCATGAGGATGAACCCAGTTGAGATCACTGGTTAGACCCTATTTTGTTTGTAGTGGGAGATTTTCTCCCTTTAACGAACTGTTTGTCAGGAACTTGTGTGGGTGCGTTTGACCTTATTAAAGAAAACTGTGAGCAAGGTCCAAGCCGAGCTAAAAATGAAATTCATTATGTTCTAGACCTGAGAGCAAAGCTATACACATTGGGGAGTAACACAAGAGCTCCAGGCCCAGGAACATCATTAGTCCCTGTACAACAGAGGGGCAAAACTCATCTCGAGGTAAAGTGCTTGTATTGCTCCTTTCTTTTAGCTCAAGGTTACTTGCCAAGTGCCAAGGACCCTTTGTGGTCAAACATGGGGTGGCTGACACTGACTATGAAAAGGGAGGAGCCACACTGGTATATCACCTCAATCTCCTAAAAGTATGGCGAGAAGCTGGAACTGTTTCTCTGATGAGCCTGGTTAGGGAAAGAGATGAGTTAAGGTGCCAAATTCAACCATTCCCACCTTCCTCCATTATGATGACTATCTCACAAAGGTCTAGAGAGCAGATGTTGCTTGCATTGCAACAGCAGCTCTACTTGAGGAACTGCCAGTATTCTGGAATCACCTCCATATATATATATATATATATATATGGCCCCAAAATTGACATGGACACACACCTGTTGGTGTCAGTATCCATCCACTCTTGAAACCATGTCATGACCAGGTTTTGGCATTCCTCCAACCCTGTCCTGCAAGCCAGGCTAATTGCATTCACCTGATTATACCTGCAGGATAGACAAATAGAAAACAGAAGTATTGACAAGAACTTTTAGGGAAAAACTGGGGAGAGCAAAGAATAATGAATACAGATATTTCGGAGTTCAACATCATATAAGCTGAGTAGCAGAGTTTCTAAGTTCCAGCTATCACGTGTGCTGAACTGAATTTGTAGAATTACACATTTTAAATAATTCATTTAAAAACTGTATCCTGGGTCCAGAAAAGAACAACTTCTACAATTACATCACAACATAAATTATGTTTTATTGAAAAAGTCTAACCTATCTATCTGATTTATGAATGCAGTTTAGACTGGTGGCAGCTTTATGTTGAAAACTTAAAATGTGTTTTCACTCACTGGTCCATGTGTCCATCAGGAACTTTGCTCCAGTTGTCTGTCATTTGCTTGTAGTATTCAAACAGAGGGGAGACTTTTTTCACGAGATAATCCTGAAACAACAAAGACAGAACTCAGATAATGTGACAACTTATTTGTGTATTGTTTCTTTTGTATGTATATGTCGTTGGAAGAAGTTCACCTGCATGGGGCCATAGACTTCGCTGCGGTCAAACATGAGGTAGAAAAAGTCCAGGTTGTTAAGGGCTGCCTTCCATGGAATGTAATCTCTCTCATTATTCAGGTATTTGGTGGTATTAAGCGCCTGCACTGTAGAAATGATCTTGGCTCTAAGAGGTAGAATATAGTAAAAATTTATCAGATACTTCATGTTCATGTTTTCCATTGTCATAATTTTAAGATATTACCACAAGTACTATTAATTAATATCTGATAGGTAAGTATTTAAGCCCACAGCCTACCAACATATTTAAAATACATGGACAACTGGCTGGGATCCCTGGGGACCCCAAGAGAATTCGTAATATCAGAATAAGAATAATAGTAAGGCTTAATTCTTCTCATAGTATCGCTGTTACCACTTTAATGTCACCATATGAAAAATAGATTACAATTATTATTATAGTTATAAAATGTGCACAAGTTTTATTGTTTAATCAACTTGCAGATTTCATCCAAAGTACAATTACATAACAGCCTGACTCTGGTATTCAATTCAGTAATTTCAAGAAAATATTATTTTTTAATATTGTAGATAATTAAGCCATACTGAGGTCATATTGATCCCGGTATAAAAAAGCTGAAATAAATAAAATGGTAAATGGACTGGTTCTTATAAAGTGGTTTCTTACTCTACCTCAGCACTCAAAGCACTTTATACAACTTAACTCATTCATAAAAGCACTTTTTCTATGCCTTTTCTATGTAAGTGCTTTCTATCTAATATTCACATACTCGAATGAATGCAGTGGAGAACAACTTGGGGTTAGTACCTTGCCCAGGAATATTTGGCATGCAAACTGGCAAGGGATCAAACCACCAACCCAACTAGATGACCTGCTCTACTTTATTTAGAGCCTGTTGATGGCTAACAGCAGAAATGGCTGTAGTGATAGATGTAGCTATTCCAAATGATAGCAACATCAGGAAAAAAGAACACGAGAAGCTCAAGAAATAGCAAGGGCTGAGAGAATGTGGAAGGCAAAAGCAACAGTGGTCTCCATGGTGATGGACTGAGGGAAGTGTCCCTCACATATATCAAACACTCCCTTTAGAAAAGACAATTATTCATGTCTTCTCCATTTGCGGGTAATGGCTCTCCCAGTGATTCACTGGAGTCCCAAAGCCTTAGAAACGGTTTTGTAACTCTTTCCAGAGTAAATGACATCTGACATCTGTCTAATTGATATATCATTTAAACATGTCTGTTAATAATTAGGCTAGTGAAATTGAACTTATAATAATAATGTATTTAATCAAAGTATCGCAGTTTATTCACGTTTTAATGATCATGAAGTGACAAAGCTGGAACAGAAGTAAATAGTTTTTCACAGCAGTGTACATCTCGTAATTATAACAGTTATCGTGTACATGTGAGACAACACTTGCAAACTTACCTGGCCAGATTGAAGGCATCATCCAATATCTGAGCTCTGTTGATCAGTGGAATGAGCTTAAAGAAACATCAGGAAACATCAAGAAACACCTTTACAATCACTGATAATCACTGATAATGACTGTGTATTGGGCTCCTCTGTCTTACCTGATGATTACTCTGCAGAACATCTAAGAGTTTGGCCCAGTTGTCATCATCATAGTTGACCCTGTAGTAACCAACCATGTTGACATTGGCTAGCACCCACTGATCTTGTGTTGCTTTCATAGCTTCAGATGTTTCTAGAAAGCGAAGAAATAGAACTCAAAGTTGGTGCACAAGAAGAAAATAAATGTAAGCTTTTCTTAAAAAGTTGCCTTAGTTTATTGAGGGTTGCAGGTACTCATGATCCACAGTTCTCTTAAGATCCTGCAAGAGCTAATGGTGGCAAAAGGACAGCTATTCTGCACTTAAGTAGAAGTACAGATACCAGTGTTAAAAATACTCCAGTAAAAGTTGAAGTAGTGATTCAACTACTTTACTCAAGTAAAAGTAAAAAAAGTACAGGCTTTGAAATTTGCTCAACATAAGAAAGTAAAAATCAGCTTTTTGGAGGATGGTTCTACCCGCTATTTTTGTGAATAGCTAAGCTAAGTCTTGTGCTATAATAATGTAATAATCAAATAATATTAGACAACGGAAATACAAACTTTAGTCTAATTTTTAATTCTAATAGTCCTCAGGTTGAATCAGTACAAAAAGAAGGAAAATAAAAAACATCTTGATTTTGTTAGGCCTACATTATAGAGTGTGACTACCTTAAAATGAAGGGAGTAATAGTAAAAAGAAAAACAAACTACTTAATTAAAGTACAGAGTGGTGCTGTGCTTTTGACAATTGTCCAGTTATATAGCTCAGTTTTGGCCAAGTTTCAGCTGTTGTCAGTGTGCTGGGTCTTTTGACCCAGCAGTTTGAGCTTGAATTGTGTTTTTTGTGACCTTTGTGTATTTGAAATGACGTTCAAGTTTTAACTCTCTAAACTGTCAACAGACTGCAACTGTTTTATTTATGAACACAAAATCACCATCATGTTGTTTGCTCTATCTCAGGGACATTAAGGTACTATAGAGAGACCACAAGAATTTAAAGGTAATATAGTTTTAAAAATACAAAATTTTGAGTCAATGTAAATATTTACATGTAAAAAAGAAACAGAACCAATTATTCAGTGGTTTCTGCTAACGGAGAATCAACTCCAACAAGCAAATTGTTAGAAGTTGAACATAAATCAGTGAAAACACAAAGATGAAAAAATACTTAGAAAATGCTTGTGTGATAATTGAAAGATTGTGATTAAAAGATTGGTGGACTGCAGAGGACCACCACATTTTGAAAATGATGTGCAGTCTTAGCTGGGAATGGATTATCTACCTGATTTGGATGTTAGCCACAGTGGATTCTGCATATTTCCAGTCATCATCCATTTGATTGGAATGATCCATTGATAACTACGGCAGAACATTTGAAACATTATTTCTGCAGTTTCTTTTTCTTTATTTTGCTTTTCATTAACTAAAAACCGCCTGTTACCATTTTGCCATTTAAAAATAATAAAAATTGAAGAACTGCATAAAGAATATGGTCTTCACTTGATATATTAGGAGGAAAAGATAAAAAAGGCAATGCAAATACTTGAAGGGGGATGGAGTTGTGACTACAGCTTCTGGATCCAGAAGGAAGTGCTGCTGGGAAACACTTCCAGTCCCAGTGTTAATGGTAACCACAGGAAAGCCCATCTGCAGCACCCAGGTGTTCATTATGTTATCGAGAGTATCAGGAAGCTTTAACTTGCTAGAATCAGCAGCCTGTGAAGGTCCCAAAAAATCCAAAAAGATAAAGTAAATATGGTTTGTGTGTGTGTGTGTGTGTGTGTGTGTGTGTGTGTGTGTGTGTGTGTGTGTGTGTGTGTGTGTGTGTATGAATATATATATACAGCTGATCCTTTCTGATGTTTCGAAAGCACTATAAAAAAAAAGAGATCTTAAACTAAATATTCAAATAAAAAGAGCAGAGAGATGATAACATGCCTTTTGCAGATGATACCAAAGGTCTGTGTAGACTGCATTCCCAAAGCTAAATGCACTCAGATAGGACTGCAGAAAAAAACAGTAAACAGAGATATGTCAGACACACTGCTTTGGATAAATGAGGGATTACTGTGTTAGCAAAAGTTTCCAAAAAATTGTACAAGTGTTCAACATTTCGCTACAATGTCCTCCAAGTTCTTTCATTGAAAGGGATATCCTTTTCACAGATGACAGGATATGATTTCTTAGTTTATTTATATTTCTCACTCATCATTGGACAAATTGTAATTTGTAATTTGAGAAAGATAACTGGTGTATGAATGGGTTGTTTAAGAATATATAAAAGCATTTCAATAAGGAGAGATTGCTTGGAAAAATTAAACATGATTTACTGAGATATAAACATTCATGTATTTGGTGATTAGACTCTGAAGACCCATCATGGCAGAATGGAAACCCAGCGATGATAAGATTTAGGACAGGGCCCCCCAGAGTTGACACGCTGGAGGTGGTGAAGATGAAGACTGATGCTTGGATTGGACTATTACTGAAGTGTCCATAAGTTGCCCCTCCATATTAGACTGGCCCAAATTCTTGAAAATTTCAAATCACTTTTAAATACACACCTTTTTTTCCAAGGCATTTTAGGAGTAGTACCAGAGTCGGCTTGTAGTCAGATTTAGTCAGTTTTTGGTCGCTTTTAATCTTCTTTACTTTACTGATTCATTTCTATCATTTTTTTTCATTTATTTGTTTATTTATTTTATTGTTATTTAATTTTTTTTGTGTGTTTAATGTAAGATTTTAAACTTTTTTCACTGTTTTTTACTGGAAAGCATTTTGGTCAACCATGTTGTTTATAAAGTGCTCTATAAATAAAGTTGGATTGGAAAGTTGGAGTGTCTGTGAGGTGGAGATGGGGAGTAGGTGGGCTGAACAGATACAACTCCACATGTGGCTGCACAAAACAAAACCTTTATAGAGGTTTGGCAGACATGTGACCGCTTACCACATACCATTAAGTTGTTACCCATTTTGGACACACAGTATTCCTAAATCATACTCAAAAACCTACTAAACCTCATGTAGATAAGATAAATTATGGAAACTATGGTTAAAGAAACAAGTGTATATACTCTCTCAGAGGAAGTAAAAAGCTTTCATCACTAGTATCTTGCTTGTTATGTGCAGAAACTGGACAAGGGACTTTCACTATTTCAGTGAACGTTTAAATAATTATTTGAGCGAGAAGTTTTGTGCTTTTGCAACAATCGTGGTAACCAGCATGACTGAGCTGGTGATCACCTTCTGCATACAGCGGTCTTCTGCAAGATGTTTAACTGTTGATATGGTGTTTATTTACTCCTTCTTGTTGATCTATGAACACTGACCTTAACTGAGGCAGTGCAGTTCTTTTAGTCTTCTTCTGGTACATTTTTAAAACAATGTAGATATTGTCCTGTTGTTACAGCAAAAACCTCTGCAAGGATGACTGGCTGGTGGACTCACCTTCATAGTAGCACACTGTGTTCTGTTATATTGTGGTCCTTACCCTCAGTCCCAGCTGGAAGACATCTTCAGTCAGGAAATCAGACAACATCCTGAGGACAGATGCTCCCTGATGAGGAAAAAACACACTGTTAGGTTTTTTTGTTTTTTGCTTTTTGTTTTCATGGTTTTGAGAGTCTATGCATGCTTTACCTTGCTGTATGAAATAGCATCAAACAGCTCACTAATCTGTGCTGGCGTCTGGATATCTTCTTCTTTAGATGACAGAGGGTGGGAAGAAGCCAGAGCATCAATAGCAAACACCCTATGAATGTCACCAAGCACGATGAGGTCTGTCTATTATGAAACAAATGAGACTGTATACTTAACAACTTTGTCGAGCACCAATACTTACATTCAAAACAATTTGGTGTTAATGAAATTCTTACCACATTCCACTCAGGTTCAGCATTATTTGCTCCCAAGTACTCAACATAGGATGCAAAGCCTTCATTCAGCCACAAGTCATTCCACCATCTGAGTGTCACCAGATTACCAAACCACTAGAGGGACAGTTCAGAAAAAAAATGTGAGAATTGACTCATGCATTTAAACTAGTTTACAAAGAAGTGAATAGAATTTGTTTTTTGAAGTTTTTTATTCACTTAAGTCTCATCTTGAAGTTATTTTCTGGGACTTCAACCCTTTTCTATGACATATGAATGGGTGTGAATGGGTGAATCAGCCAAGCTGTATGTGCTCAGGTAGAGTAGAAAAGTATGTAAAAAGTAAAACTATATATCCAGAATATCAACTATATAATATATATCCAGTTACCAGTTACTTGGAACTATATCTGAAATTGCTTTCGGGGGCCCTGAGAGTTGACATGAATGTTTTCCAAAGCACTTAAAACTTAATTACTGCCTATATCTCAAGAATCCTCTTAAACTTTATTTCCAGGACTTGAAACTCACCATGTGAGCCAGTTCATGAGCAATGATCGTAGCGATCCTTTCCTTGTTGGAGTTGGAGGAGAAAGCTTCATCGTACAGTAGAGCTGTCTCCCGGTATGTGATCAGACCCCAGTTTTCCATGGCCCCTGCATTAAAGTCTGGGATTGCTATCTGATCTGTGTTAGGACAGAGATTATGTTAATGTGGCTGATTAGTTGCTTGAAGTGAAAGAGGTTACCAGTTTAAAACAGCAGAAGTGCTTAAAACCTTGACCCAGTCACAGTGCAACAGTGTCAATTTAATCCACTATGGGTAAAAAAAAAATCATTGCTTAACATCCTACTTAATTAAAAGTACCTATAGTAACGTAAATAAAAGTTTCAAAGGTGTCATAAATATCAGTTTATATATGCATAATAAAATGTCAAATAAAATAAGTGCGAGTACATCAAATCTTGGCCTGCAACATAGGACAGGCTAAGATTATATAACAATGAAGAATCACATTTTACCTGTTAATAATTGATAATGAAGATGACCTTCTCATAACAGGTCATAAAAAGTCACAACTGAAAGATGTGCGTATGATAAGAACATAATGGAGCTGACTGGATGCTGCAGCCAAGGTCTTGGGCAATAAAACTATATATTTTACAGTTTTGCCATAAACATACACATGATGCCAATAAACATGAGACCAAAAACTGATCTGAGATCTAAGATTAGATCAGTACACTGAGTAGACACATGTCCCCACTTTACATGTGAGCAGAGACTTAGGTGCATTTATTAATGAACAAAATGAACTTCAATCAGGACACCATAAAGATAAGGCATTTTTATGGTGTGTTTTTTTGTACACTAACAGAAACTGTGATGCTGCTGAAGTCTATCATATCAACTGGTAAAGGAAAAAGTATAGCATTTTTTGTACACTGTTTTTTAATTGCTTTGTCATTTTGTGGTAGTTTTTTGAAGAAATATAATCTCTTCCAAATGTTGTCCCATTTGCATAAAAACAGCAAACAAAAAATAAAATCTTGATGTTATTTTGTATCTTTTTAATGAAATTTTGCATTTTGCTTATGGTCATTTAATGTCACTATAGGATAGGTTTTCTTGCCCTCACAGTCTTTGATTTGAGTTTAGTCACTTATGACAAGCAAGAAATATAAAGTCACTTCATGACAAGGCCTCAGATCAGGTATTCACTTAGTACTTGATATGTTAGTATTGTTACTTATTAAATATAGACTTTTATCAAATTAAATGTACATAATAGATTTAAGATTAAGATTTCATAGACTTGAGAAATCCATGCTGGTGCATCAGGACAGCTGTGCTGACTCATGATAAAGTGAAGCTAAAAAGTGTGCAGTAGTAAACGTGCAGGCATGTAGATGTCTAGCTAATTGTGTGGTGGTCTTACCAGACTTGGGTAGAGGGTACGTGGCATTGTAATACTGCTCAAAGAATTTAAGGATTGGTCCAGTTTTGTTAAGGGCATACTGTCCTTGACCAGCTGCAATGGCGGACCTCCGGGCGAAAATGCGGATCTAAACCCAGATTACACAAAATAAAATAAAATTGAAAAACACTTTACACCACTTTGCAAAATAACATTATTCTATACACTTGTATTTCAAATAGTTTAAATCTATAGAAAGAGTACAGGGTACAGTCTAGGCACCATGATCTTAAAACTACAGTCAATCATCTCCAAAAGTTGATTCTGTTCATCTGGACGTAATGTTTTCAGTGGGAGAAATGTTTCGTGACTCATCCAAGTGACTTCTTCACTTGCTGACTGCAGGTTTCATCTTATAAACAGTACATCTGCATCATGACTGAAACCAGCCCACTGAAGGAACAAAGGGCTGGGAGGTCAGTTCCTTCATCATCATGAGCATGCATCAAGACGTACCGTCAATATTTTTTTTTGCAGTTATAAGAAAAAAATAATAATGTTGAACTGAAAAATATGCATTATTAGTCTGACTTATGTCTTATGTGTTCACTTATGTGAACTTAGAATGAGTCCATTAAAAATATACAGGTGTGGGCACTGGTTTGTGGAAGCCACCAGGTTGCCCCGCCACTCAGGAATACAGCCCTCAAGATGGACATCGCTGTTCTGTCTAATTGTATTTTATGTATGCGGGTAGAGACCAACCTGACACTGGCCCGGTGGCGCCAATGTCAGGCAGCCTCGCCTCTGTCAGTGCGCCCCAGGGTGGCTGTGGCTACAATGTAGCTTGCCATCACCAGTGTGTGAATGTGTGAATAACTGAATGTGTAAAGCGCTTTGGGGTCCTTAGGGACTAGTAAAGCGCTATACAAAAACAGGCCATTTACCATTTTACCATTTATTAGTTGATGATTTCCATCTCAGTCTTTTATTTCTGAGCATGTCTTTGTTTGTTGGGATTCTGTATCAGGTCCTGATTGTTTTGTGTCCCAGCCAGCTAATACTGCCAGGAAAAAGTCTGATTTTAGTGAGCTGACTCCCAAGACTCCTAAGACTGTGTGTTTCAAGACTGTTTATTCTGGGACTGTTTGTTGTTCGGCTGAACAGGGCTCCCTTGAGACAGAAACTCTGCCCGGATCATGGCCAGAGACCAAGTTTAAGGTCTTAGTTGACCCCCAGAGGTTCTCATTCCTGCCTTGCTCCGGGCTCAGCCGAGCCTGCCCAGCCTCTGGGGCCTCCTGGGGGCCAGATGTTAAATTGACTTGATGCTATTTACTTGATTAAATTGTTCCTTTAAATTTTCTGTATCTTCAGTTGGATGAGCACAAGAAACTTTTACTAATTCGTTTTCTGTTTTACTAATAACATATTTGCTCTACTTGATCGGAAGAAAAGGCAACTGTGAAAATTACTGAAATCCACGTGTGAAAGTTTCTTGGAAATCAAACCACTTTGATTAAAGAATGTCAAAATTACTATGGGACAACAATTACCTCAACGCCATCAATGCTGTTAACAATACTGTCGTAGTCACTGACAATGAATGCCAGCAAGTAAGTCGACATTTTCTCCGTTCGCTCAAAAACTGTCTTAAGCAGATCCTGGCCATCATGGTTGATTTCAGTTGTTTCTGAAAATAATTAAAATAAAATAAAATAAAGAGGTAACATTTTTATTTGATTGCTTTCCACTTCTTACCATTTTACTGACTAGACACAAAGTGTTTTTATACTTTATTGTTCTTGTCATATTTTATTGTTTAACTATGTGTTACATCCTCAATATTTAACTATGTAGTGACATCAATTTTTAAAACAAAAATATCTGCTCTGTTCTCAAACTAACCTATGTCCTTGCCATTGGACAGGGCTGTAGTTCCACGGTCGTGGATCAGCGTAATGAAGAAGTAAGCTTTCATAGCTGGCTCATCAAAGCAAGGGAAAGATTTCCTAGCATCTGTAGGCTGCATCTGGGTGGTAGCCATGACCCTGACAAGAAGAAGATAAATTAGCCTTGTGTGTAAAGAAGGTGCTACACAATTTAAACAAAATGGTTGGATGAAGGTTCTCCAAAATCCAGAAGATGTAATAGCTATATGCCCAAAACCTAGTTGGCCTATATAAGCAAAATAACAACAACAACATAAAAACTAGTAATTTCAACCAAAGTCCTCAACTTTTCTTATCTTGTAAGCAGTACTTGACATTGGTCAAGTTCGCGTCAAGTTACTTGAAAAAAGTAATCAGTAACTAATTACTAATTACTCCCCCCCAAAGTAATCCCATTACTTTACTAATTACTTATTTTCAAAAGTAATTAATTGCTTAGTTACTTAGTTACTTTTTAAAAACACGATTTACAACCCCTGAATAGGTAATAAAGCGATAGATCTTCAGCCCAATTCTACTTTTTCTGCATAATCCATCATACAAAATGTAATCAAATGGAAAAGTATCTTTTTAAAACTTGTTTTATCAGTTTTAATCTTTTAACTTTATGCATCAAGCAAAAGTTTAATTATATGCAACATTCACTGACTGGAAGAAATTAGTTTAACATTTAAAGCTATTTTCTGCACATTCCAGCACATAAAATAAAATATTTTTTGTGTTTACACTCACTCTTTCAAATAGATGCAAGTGAAACACAGCAGAAAATAAATAAAGTCAAAGACTCAAAGACTCTATTTTCACCTGTAAAGCAGGTGTGGGGTAGGCGGAGGTTCACCCTGGTGCAGGTGTGCCGCGGTCAGTTGAAGAATCCGCGAGTTTCTCTGTGAGTTTCCCATTACCTCGTAGCGCACTCGGTGCTTGCTCGGAAGTTTAGGAGTTTTTTTCGCTGTAAAAAGAAGTTTTCTTCCCACGCACGATGGACGCTAATGTTTTTGTCACTTTTTATGGAATCAAACTCAAAGTAAGGTCAGTGCTCCCACGCTTTAAATGCTGCATGCTCATATTCTCTCCCGCACTCGATATATGATCCATTGTTGATCTGCACACAGCTGTTGTCATGAACGTCGCACTTACGTCACTGTCTTGAGACATTCTCGCAAAAAAAAATCATGGTTTTAGTAACGCAGTAACGCAGCGTTCCTACGGGAAAGTAACGGTAATCTAATTTTTGCAATAGTAATCCCTTACTTTACTCGTTACTTGAAAAAAGTAATTGGATTACAGTAACTGCCCATCTCTGCTTGTAAGACAGTAAAATTCTTATTTTCAGACACTTTGTCAAACAAAAGATATAAAAGTATGTACTGTGGGAATTTTCCGCTAATTTATGATAGTATTCATCAATTCATTATTGAAATAATTGTCAAACTGTAACCGTTGATTTTAACAACTATTTTGTAGTTATTCTTCTAGATGTGGTTGAAGTTTGGACAGAGATTAACTAAATGATTCAAACAAAAATGTAATTATTAAAGACATACTCTTTTTTGCTATTTTCATTGTTACCTATGTTGATATGTTCCAGGTTTGTTGACACTATATACACTTACCTTTTCTCTCCATCCTCCATGTATTCGCTCCTGTAGAAGCCTCCAAGGTCATCAGCTAGTTCTCCAATGAATTCAGTGTAGAGGCGATACTTGTGTCCCTTTTTCAGTGTACCATCCAGCTCCAGGACCAGGTACTGTGTGACACCTTGGAGCCAGGAGGACTTGATTGCGGGGGCTTCAACACTACTCACTGACATGAGTCTTGCCAACTGGTTCTCAAACTTGGTGTAATTCAATTTATTAGAATGGATAAGAATCAGGTCAGTGTCCTCCACACATTCAAAGTCCACAACGGAACTGCCTGAAACACCAAGAAATAATGTGCAGTTTAATCAGTTGTTTAAACGTAGAAACCTTCACATTATTTGGAGTCACATTAGGATATGTGACCGGTTTATCCAATCCATGATTTTGTTGCCAAAAAATATAAACTCAGTTGCATCAGGTAATGCTATTAGCAATCCCTAGCTAATACACTTTAGTCCAACTTTAAAAACACCATAACTCTCGTGCCACTATAGAATATTTAAACAGCACACTGAAAAAAAAAACAATTGGCTGCACACCTAAAAAGGACTTTAAGTTTCAGATGCTTTATTTATTTTTCTTCATTCTCTGTTGTTTACTATTGTTACATTTAATTTTCTCACTTGTGTGATCAGATCTAAACTTTTATAAGAGATGAGAACTGTTTTTCAGTAACAGTTTTTAATATCATAGGTGTGATAGTTATAAGGTCAAACTCAAGCTTTTAATGTGTTTTTAACTTTTGCAAATACACATGTAAGAGTAATTTAAAAAATAGCAGCACTGAGTTGGTGTCATATAAATTCAAACTAATTTAGATTTTAATACTTTTTAAAAGTTTTTTTTTAACTTCAAACTGTATTTGTCTTTTGTGTTTCTAAAGGACAGCATAATGTAAGACAAATAGTTTTGTGGCTTAAAAACTATCCATTCGCTTCTGCTTATCCTATTCAGAGTTGGGGGGCTGTCTTAGGAAAAGAAGCAGGGTACGCCCTGGACAGGTCACCAGTCTGTCGCAGGATACAAACAACCATTCGCACTCATATTCACTCCCGCATTCATACCTACAGGCAGTGTTGGGAAGGTTACTTTTACAATGTATTCCACTACATATTACAGATTACATGCCCCAAAATATATTTTGTAACGTATTCCGTTACGTTACTCAATGACAGTAACGTATTCTGAATACTTTGGATTACTTAATATATTATCATGCTTTTTACAACAACGTGAATGTACTATTGCTGTGTGATTTATTACTGTTACTAAAGGTTACTCGCCATACCAATACCAACTAGATTTTTAAATCTTAGCGTAGAATGAGTAACAGTAGGTGGACATTAGGTAAGGCTGCACTTTTTGTAGCGATCTCGTAGAAAACTATTCCGCGCGTATATAAAACAGGTCCGCATAGGGTTGCCAACCGTCCCTTAAAATACGGAATCGTCCCGTATTTCGAAACAAAAGTACACGTCC